CCCAAAACCCCAAAACCCCAAAACCCCAAAACCCCAAAACCCCAAAACCCCATATTTATTCTTAGCCATTGATAATCAATAAAGATTTTTAATTAAAGATGCATTCAGTATCAAAGAACCTATTCAAGAAATCCAGAGGAATTACTAAGCTATCTCAAGCTTTCTTCGCTTCCAAAGACATCAGATTTGGAACTGAGGCCAGAGCTCTCATGCTCCAAGGAGCTGATGATCTTGCCGATGCTGTACAGGTTACTCTCGGTCCAAGAGGAAGAAACGTAATCATCGACTCGACCTTCGGAAATCCAAAGATTACAAAGGACGGTGTGACCGTTGCCAAATCTATTGAATTTGCAGATAGATACCACAACATGGGAGCAAGCCTTATTAAGCAGGTAGCCAACCAAGCCAACGATAAAGCAGGAGATGGAACTACTACTGCCACTGTCTTAGCCAGAGCTATCTACAAAGAAGGATGCAAATCTGTTGCTGCTGGCATGAACCCAATGGACTTAAGAAGAGGTGTCCAACTTGCTGTCAATGCTGTTGCTGACCACTTGTCTAGCATCTCAACCCCAGTCTCAGGCAAAGAAGCCATCCAGAACGTAGCCACGATCTCAGCCAACAACGACAAGCACATCGGAGAGCTCATTGCAACCATCTTTGACAAGATCGGCAGAGAAGGAACCATCACTGTGCAAGATGGAAAGACTCTGGATGTTGAAGTCGAGTACGTAGAAGGAATCAAGTTCGACAGAGGATTCATCTCACCTTACTTCGTCACCGACACCAAGAACCAAAAAGTGGAAATGGAAAACCCTCTGATGCTACTCGTTGACAAGAAGGTGAGCACTATCCAGTCCATCCTGAAGTACTTGGAACACGCTTCTCAACAGCAAAAGCCCATTTTGATTATTGCTGAAGACGTAGAGAGCGAGGCTCTGGCCACTTTGGTCATCAACAAGTTGAGGGGAGGACTCAGAGTGTGCGCTGTGAAGGCTCCAGGATTCGGTGACAACAGAAAGGCCACCATGCAAGATATTTCCATTTCTACTGGAGCTACTCTTGTTAGCCAAGATATTGGAATGACTCTAGAAGATTCAGGAATTGAGGTTCTCGGAACAGCCAAGAAGGTCATCGTCACTAAAGATGATACTATTATTTTGGATGGACAGGGTTCTAAAGAAGATATTGCTGAAAGAGTTGAAGCTATTAAGCAAGATATCCTAAACACCACTTCTGAGTATGCTAGAGAAAAGGCACAAGAAAGACTCGGAAAACTCACAGGAGGTGTTGCTGTCATTAAGGTCGGAGGATCCTCAGAAGTAGAAGTCAGTGAACTTAAGGACAGAATTGATGATGCTCTTTGCGCTACTAGAGCTGCTATTGATGAAGGAATTGTCCCAGGAGGTGGTGTAGCTCTCCTTAACTCCCTCAAAGCATTGAAGGAACTCAAGGGAGAAAACTTTGACCAAAACATTGGAATCAAGATCATCAAAGAAGCAATTAAGATGCCAGCTAAGATCATTTGCAACAATGCAGGATTTGAAGGATCTGTAGTTGTTGACAAGATTCAACAAGAAGAGAACCCAAATGTTGGATTTGATGCCCACACTGGTGAATATACTGATTTAATTGAGAGAGGAATCATTGACCCAACAAAGGTTGTAAGAACTGCAATTATTGATTCCGCTGGTATCGCTTCCCTCATGATTACCTCTGAAGCTATGATCGTCGAAGAGAAGGAAGCATCCCCACCAGCCCCAGCAGGAGGAGCCCCAGGAATGGGAGGAATGGGTGGAATGGGTGGCATGTTCTAAATGCTTCTAGAATCGAGTAGGAAATATCCATCTGCTTAAATAAAATTTTAAGAACCATGATTTAACGGGGTTTTGGGGTTTTGGGGTTTTGGGGTTTTGGGGTTTTGGGGTTTTGGGG